TTTTTTTTTTAACCATATTTGGGAAGGTTTTGGTCATTATTTCTTGAAATAATTTTTTCCACCTCTTTATCTCCTCTCATTTAGAGTTTCCAAATACACGCATGTTGTACTGTTTCTTGCTGTTGCTCAGGTCTCTTAGGCTTTCATTAGTTTTTTTTCTGTTCATTAGACTGGGAAATTCCTGTTGATCTAGATTCAATTTCCCTATCTTTTTTTTTTTTTTTTTCCTGCCACCTGCAATCTATTCTTGAGCCTACCTAGGTAATTTTTTACTTTACTAATCAAACTTTTCAGCTCTAAAGTTTCTGTTTTTGTTTTTCAATTTCTGGTTCTTTTTTAATAGTTCCTATTTGTTCATTCATTAATGTTATATTTTCCTTTAATTTTTTTGAACGTAATTTAAATAGTTACTTGGAAGTCTTTGCTAGATGCAACATCTGGATCCACTCAGAGACAGTTGCTAAGCTGGGCCCCACTTGCCTGACCTTTTGCATGTTTCTCTAGTAATTTTTCATTGAAACCTAAACCTTGTGGGTAATATGTTATAGTGAGTGGATTCTGTTATGCTTTTGAAGACTGTTGGGAATTTTTAGTTTTTCATTTTACAGATTTGTGGTGTTGGGGACTTTCAGTTATGGCTTAGACGTTTGTGGTGTTTGTAAAGAAGTCATTATCTGTGAAATCATCATGGAATGATTTAAAATTGTAAGATTTAGAATTGCATCATTATATTGGGATTGGGCCTGAGTTTTATAAAGTCAAGGAATTATTTAATTTTGCAAAAGTTGAGTTTTACAGATGAAAACCTTAATCTGTTGGAGTTGATCTCAGGGTATCATAGAATGAATTATTAGCCAAAAAAAGCCTGTTGCCGTCAAGTAAATTCTGACTCATAGTAACCCTATAGTACAGAGTAGGTTTCCAAGGCTGTACTCTTTATAGAAGCAGACTGCCATATCTTCCTCCCATGAAGCAACGGGTGGATTCAAACTGCCAGCCTTGCAGTTAGGAGCTGCGGGCTTAACCTCTGCGCCACCAGGGCTCCTTAGAATAAATAATAGTTACCAT